AATATCTAAATTAATGGCAGAAGGGCTATGACTTACGTGATCGGGGTTTGGTCAGGGGTGAACGGTTTCCAGCAGATTTGTTTATTAGGAAGCCGTTTGACACGTTGTCTTCAAGGGTCTCAGTTGAAGAGTGGGCTGAAATTGCTGTGGCTGATGGGGGAAGCAGAAGACCTGGGTTGGAGCGGTGAGCACCACCGCACGGTGCATACGGTCACGAGCAGGGGATGGTGGTGTCTTAGTGAGAGGTGGCGTTTGTAGCTCCTCCGTCTCCAAAAATTCTTATTTCACTGAATGAGAAAGGGGTTAGGAACTTTATGGCAGGGAATAGAAATCACAACCCAAAGGTCTGGCTCGGAGTCGTGGCTTTCATGCAGGGAAAAAAAGAGCTCTACGAGGCACAGCCTAAGACGGGAATTGGCTTTGGGGCTGGGGGCGGTGGATGTAAGCCTGGAGTGGGGCAGGGGGGTTGCAGGAGGGGTTTGTGCAGCTCAGGGCTGTATGCGCCGCTGGATGCACCCGCTCCTGGGTCAGGCTCCAGCTCTGGCAGGGCTTTGCCGAAAGGAGAGGCCAAACAGCTGGGAGAGGAGGTGAAGCTGGCAGAAATCAGGCCTGCAGGAGCTGATTTATCTGAGAAGATTAAAATACTTTTTATCTAGCTGAAATCATGGCCTCCATCTAGGCTGCGCAAGGCAGGGGCTGTGCTTGCTCGCTGTTAGCTCCAGATCCCTGCTGCTCGCTGCGGGAAAGTCTCCCAGTGCACCTCTGCCAAACGGGGAATTTACCCAGGCATCACCCCGTGTCTGTCTGCAGCGGAGATGGGGATCCGTAAAAGCAGCTGCGGCACCTCCGGAGCCAGTCCCTCCTTCCCTTTTGGGTGCTCTCCAGAGCCAAGTGAGCTGGTGGCTCCCCGAGTCTATCCCTGTGCTCCCAGCTCGCCGTTGCCACATGGCCTTTCCGCAGCCCACATACTCTTTCTTGGGTTGCAGGAGCCCTGGCAGCCTGATATCAGAGCAGACTTCCCTGCCAGGGCTCTGAAGGTGGACAGACCAGCTTTTCTCCTTCCCTTATCACCTTAAGCTTCAGGAGCGGGGAAGCCGCTGCCAAGCTGCAGAAGAGCTTTTTGGTTTTGGCAGCAAAGGGAGAACATCAAGAGTTGCGATGGCTGGAGAGGGACCGCTGAAGAGAGCACGGGAGGTTGGCAGCAAACGGGGCTGAGCAAAGAAACAGCAAACTGATGTTGAAACTCCTGGAAGGAGGAGAGTTGTTGCTGTAGAGGAGGGGAAATAATATGGAAGCAGGGGAATGGCTTGCCACTAGATGGAGTGAATGGTCTTATGGGGATTTGTCTTCATCCTCTGGCAAGTTCAGTCCAGGACCTTTGCTGGGGGAATAGGTCCTTTCTTCCTTGAACTCCTGGGCTTGACTTTGGGGAGCTGAGTTGAGCTGGCCATCAGCGTCTCCTCCAGTGCTGCTGAGTTGTGCACGGTGTGGTGGTCCATGTTGTCATCACTCTTTGGACATGGAGCAGAAGAGTCACCTCCAGCCATTGTGGACACAGAAGTTGAATCCTTGAGCTCTCAAAGCCCATGTCCTTCAGCAGAAGCAGAGTTTGGGACTCTTCAGGGTGAGAGTTTCCGTGTGTGAATATGGAAGATGCAAGAGTTGTGCAGTAAAGGGACATCTTTTCCACCCTTGATGGAGGGAGCAGCGGAGCTGGTGTTCCTCAGGTTTTGGGCAGGGGCAGAGGCCTTTTGGGAAACCAGCAGTGCAAGAGCTGGAAACATTGCCCTGGTGATGCGTGCGGAGTCATTGCAGGACGTTGCGGAAGAGCTGGCCGCCGGTCTGTAGAGCTGCAGTGCTGGCCCCGCTCACCCCACGGCCATCCCTGGGGAGCGGATCACTTGCAACAGGGGACCGTCACATCCCTCCTTGTTCTCCCACGTCTTGCTGTTGGCAGAGGAGGCTGCAGACCCCGTCAGGAACCAAGCAGTGCTGCAAAAGCAGATGGACATAGGAAAACCTTGGGCTGTCCCTCTTCGGTGCCGGCTGGGAGCATGAGGAATCCCTGCAGCCGCAGCAGCTCCCCGGTGATGCAAGTGCCGGCACAGCAGCCCTGTCGGGGTGAGATGCAGAGCTCTTCCCACCGCCCGCGCACCAGGGGAGGGGTGAGCTACAGCAACAAAAATGCGCCCTTCCACTTGGGTGACTGCTCCCAGTTAGAGATGAAAACATTTGTTCCTGAAATTGGAGTCATTCCTGGGATTGCAACACCCAGGCTGTGTTTCCAATTAATCTGCTGAAGTCGTCATGCATTTCCAAGTGCATTGGCTCAGCAGAGAGAAATCTGGCATTGCCTTCGCGCTGAAATGCCAGCTGAGATGTGCATGGTGTTAAATGAGGAGAGAACGGACCCGGCAGGCTGGTCCACCGGACCTGGCACCCATCATGACGGGGCACCGGGCAGGTCCGGGATGGCCGGGGGGGAGGTGGCAGAGCAGCTGCCTCCTGGGAATGAAAACGCTTGAAATAGTTGTTGAATTACGGTCGGGTTTTTCCTGACTGGTTTCCTTCTGTTTCTGGGTGTGTGTTTTGTTTTGGGGAGAAGGGGAGGGGGGTGAAGTGCGTTATGCTTGGTCTATTCGCTGCGTCTGCAGGAGCGTATTTACAGCCCTGCTGCCTCAGCGGTGTCGAGTGGGAGATGTTTGCTGTGCGTTGGGGATGATGGTGTGACCTCTCAACCCCAGCTTCCTCCCAGGCCCTCCCGCACAGTGCTCCTGCCCCCGGCGAAGCAGGCGAAGGCTGGAAGCCGGAGGCTATTTTGTTTGGGAGCCGAGTGATCTCCGAAGCAATGCCTGCGGTGCTGCGTGTGGGTCCGTGTCCGGGTGCCCGCAGGGCAAGTGCTGCTGAGGCCGGAGCACAGCGGCCCGCAGAGCCAGCTTGGCGTTGGATGGTGCGGTGGTGGGTCCTCATGGTGCATCTCCACATTAGGCACCTCTCTGGGGAGGCGTTGGAAGGACAGACATCCCCTTGCCGATGGGTTTGGGGTGGGTTTTTTTTTCTCTCCTAGGGCTACTTTTGCAGAAGCCAGGGTTCCCGCCTGGAGCTGGAAGTGACCTGACACATTCCTCTCATCTCCCGTGTGATTTTCTGAGAAATGAAATTGGATCTAAAGCCCAGTCCCAGCTGGGTGGGAGCGGTCCAGTGCATTAGCACAAACACTCGTGGAAAGGCTGAGCTTGCGTAGAAATCTTCCCTTTCCAAGAATGAGGTTCAGGCTGAGGCCCCCCTCCCTCCCTTCCTCCAGAGTCAGCAGGGATGATGGACGGGAGAGGGGAAGGAGGGATGGGGAAGCTCAGCAGGACTCCTGCCACCGAAGTCACTGGTGGCTTTTCCCTTTAGGGGGAAGCATGCAAACCACTTTTGCGAAAGGAGCATGCAGACTGCTTTTACCTGTTGGGAAGTGGAGCAGGGATGGAGAGTCCGGCTGCCTCCGGCTCCTCTCCCTGCAGAGCCCCTCTCCGCATGCCGCAGGGACGGTGTCACCCGCTTTCCTGCAGCAACGCTTTGTTTGGAGCTGGAAAGTGTTAAGTGAGGACGGTGACAAGACCACTCCCAAATTGGATCACGCTTGCTTTCCCATCTGCGAGGGCAGCACCGGGGCAGTATGTTCTTTGGTGGGAGTGTCGTGCAAGCCTGTGCACCCTGCTCGGAGGCCAACGCAGGCAGGCGGCCTGCGGCAGATGTGTAAAAGCCTGAAAAAAAACCCAGGGAGGCGAGGAGAGGAGGGGGAAGGCAAGTTTACCACTGGTGTTTAATGCCGCAGTGCGTCAATTTAATGAATACTCTTAAGGATGTTGCGCTAAGTTCCCAAGTTCCTTGCTCCAGAAATAGAGCTTTCCTATGTGTCTCTGTTAGAGTAAGTCTCTGTTGCATAGATGTTTAGCAGTGAGGATGTAATCTTTCTATATTTGCTTGGAGGACAATAATACTGATGCTTTCTATTTTTAACACATCAGCAGGGCAAAAAAATGCGCTTGGGAACCTTCAGGGAGCAGAGCAGCTCTGCTCGTAGTGCTGCCTGCGCAGCCGGGCTTTGGGAGCGACGCCAGCAGCTCAGCGAGCAGCTTTGAGTGCCTGCCCCCCCTTTTCAGCAGGTAAAGAGGGGCCAGTCTGCACTGGGATTGTCTCCTTGCTCCGGTGGGCTCAGCAGAGCCCGTGCTTCAGGGTCACAGGGCTGGGTGATGGTGGGGAGGAGCAGGGACGTGTGGCGTCGTCTGTGCTTCTCTTCCTTCTGTTTCTCTCCCTGCTGTGGCCCTCTGAGGCTGTGGGGAGCACTGAAGGGTTTGTGGGTCCAGCTGCGTTGCTGACTCTGTGATGCTTGTTTGGGTGGTGCCAGTCCTGAAATCCCAGCTCAGGTCCTAAAAGCATCTCAAGCCTTTTATGTATTTTTGTTGTTTTTTTTTTTTAAAAAGAAAAATAGTTTCTGTCACCACCTTGATCATAAAAAAGAGCTGCAAGCAATAACCTGCAAAATCCTCTGAAACGGGCGGTGAATAACAAAACTGGCACCGACTTGAGTCGCAATCCGGAGTTTGGGGGCTGATTCATAATTTCAAGTGGTTCTGCCCTGTCCAGGTCCTTCTGCCACCCTCATCTGCTCGAGCTGCCATCAGCAGCTCTCCTCCGGCAGGACAGCCTTGCGTTGGTCCTCGCAGGGTTTTCCGGCTGCTGACGTGTGTGCTGGAGGAGCCTGAATGCCTGCACCTCCCATTTGGAGGAGAACATAGGAATTTAGGGTGGAACTTGCTCCCTAGGGGCTTTATTTCACCCTCCAGGCTGGGTCCAGAGAAAGTGTCTTCTGCTGTCTTGTTTTTTTTGGTTTTTTTTGGTTTTTTTTCCCTGCAGTGGAACGGCAAACCAGTCTCAGGAGTGGATTTTGTCATGGTGTTTGTGCCTGTTGCAAAGACTCTGGTTTCCAGCCCCACTGTGGGACCACGCACAATGATTGCCGTGTTTCCAGGGCAGCTGGTGGCTGCCAGCAGATTTCGGGTTAAATCTGAGCCCTGGCCGTTGTGCCAGGGCATCCCAGGTGAAGGTGGTGTCTGTGCCGGTGGCCGCCCCTCCTGGACGGGGCAGCACGTTTGCGTTTCGGGGCTGGTCCTTTGGGACAAAGCGGCAATTTTGGTTTTGCCGTGCCGAGTGTGCAGCTGCGTGGGGCTCGGCCCCCGACGGGGACAATGGCAGGAAGCCGGGAGCCGCGCGCAGCTCCTTGCCGCTGGCCAGGCACCACATCCTCGCGGAGCCGAGGCTGCCTCCGCCGCCGCTCCTCCCTTGCTATTTCCATCGCATTGTCCGGAGGAGAGGAAGGATGTTTCCAGCCTTCTTCCTTTTTGCCTCAAAGGGATGTAGGGTAGGCGGGGAGGGGAGGGGAGAGGATTTTTCTTGCTGGCAGTTGTGCAGTAGGCGAAATTAGTGTTTTTTGAAGCACCATCCCGCTCCGCCCAGGTCAAGGGGCTGATGCATCTTGGCCTGAGACACCCCCGAGGTCTCCCCTCCTCTGCATAGTCTTGGCAGTGGAGATGTATCTCGTCCCGTGTCCCCGCTGGCAGCCAGTGGGCTCAGGCGTGTCCTCCTGTGCAAGACGAGGGCTTGGAGCTCCGTCGGAGAAGATGCTTCTGCAGCGTGGCTTTTAGTGGACGTGCAGACGTGACCAGGCTCGTGGTGCTCAGCAATGCCGGGGGAGATGCTGCTGCCTCTGCATCCCTTATTCCCAGTGGTGGGGTCAGGCTGTCGTGAGGCTGCAGGCGCTCAATGGAAGGTACTTTGCGAAGACAAAGTGGGACCCCATGGCCCCAAGCACCATGTCGCGGTGGGGACGTGTGCATGGAGGTGTCGTGGCAGAGCTGCAGGGGGTGGGAGGATAATCCCGATAATCCCTGGTCCCTCGGTGGGGATGGTTTCAGGTGCCTCTGAAAGCATTAGAAGTGTGTGTGTGGGGGAAAGGGAATGGTGGAGGTCACCTCTTGCTTTGTGATGGAGAAATACAGCTGTGAAAGGGGGTTCTGGCTTTTTGGGGGATGTTTTTACTTCTTCATCGTGTGGACACGGCTCTGTTGGTGACCAAGAAACACTGCAAAGTCCTTCCTGCATTTTTGCACAGCTCTGACTGCTGTGGCCATGCAAAGTCAAGGCTCCTCACTGCACCGGAGGAGGCCGGGCTCCCACGTGCCAGGAAGTGAAAGCAGAATTAATTAAGATGGGAAATGATCTTAATTTGCTCCGGCTAAATCCTTTTAGCACCAGTAAACCCCAAACATTTGAAGCAGAGATCTTGGTCAGAGTGCGGCCACACCTCTGCTGTCATTCGGAGGTGGAGAAACGGCCCATGACACATGTCTCAGAGTTTCACTGTATGAGAGTTTTACCAGTTTTACTGGGGTGATTGTTGCTTCCTGGTAGCAGCCAAACTGGGAAAAGCCCATCTCTAACTGAACTGGATCCCAGCTCAGCTGAGATCACCCCAGGACAGCCAGAAGAGTCCAAATTCAAATCTCACGTGTGCTGGCGTTGAGTCTGTCCTGGGACAGCCCCAGGACTTAGCAGCACTGCTGATTTTTCCATAGGGGAGCAGAAAGCTTTAAGGATCCCCTTCGGCTTTTTTTCTTTGCTTGTTCCAAAGTGGATCGGGATGCAGCGCGGCTGTTTTGTCCTCTGCGAACAGCATCCACCGTCTGTGGTACCTGCCATGTGCCATTCTCAGGGTCACCCTCCATAGCCCGCTTTGGAGCTGCGGAACATTTCTGACAAAGCCCAGGGTCAGGGCCAGCCCTTAAAACCTGCCAGGAATACCGGGAGCTCCCGGATTTCGCTGCTGACAGGAGGTGTCCGGCAGTGCCAGGGCGATGGAGCAATTACTTGGCGGCCGTCAGAGCCAGCTCTTTGCATTAGCGAAAAATGCGAGTGATCTGCAGGCTTGTGAAAGTACTGTTTGTCCCCAGGGGGGTCGGGGTAACGACCTCACTTGCATGTCCTCGGTGGTTTAAGCCTTCCTGACGCTTTGGCCACGCGTGTCCCGTTGTGTGTGTTGGGATGGGGTACGCGAGGGAGGAGAGGTTGCGTGGAAGGAGGAGGAGATGCGCAGTTCAGTTGTCTCCTTCCTCCTCCGTGGTTTTGTGGCTGTAGGGAGGCTCAGAGTATGGAGCAGAATAGCAATTCTTCTGTAAACCAGCGTGGAAATGATGCTGAAGGAGCTGATGCAATAAAATACCACTTTAGTTTGGGGCAGAAGTTTTCCCCCATTTTCTTAGAATATGAGCAAGCTGGGCTGTAAGCTTCGTTATGGTCTATCTTACTGCACGTTCCCGTTTGCAAAGCAGGGAGGGTCTTGTGTTCATCTCCGGCAGCTGCCACGGCGAAGGGCGTTGGATTGGGCACGCGTGGGAGCCGGAGGAGGGCTGACACGGACCGGCCTCTATGCTCCGCCGTGGCTTTTGCTTCCCTGACAAAGACCTCGGCATTTCCACCTGCTGCTGCGTGGGACCTGGGTGCCAGCCACCTGCCCGAGCCCACGCAAAGCCTCCCTGTTTATTTTGTCTAAAAGCAATATCCCCCAAAGCGGCGGGGAGGAGGGGGGAATACCCACTCTGGCTTAATTGCATTTAATGAGTCTGATGGGGCTGGCTGCCAGCAAGCGGAGGGCTTTGCCAAGGTTCGTACTTGCCCGTGAGAACTGCAAGGGTGTGGTGTGCGGCCGCGCCTGGCTTCGCAACCGCTGGGAGAAAAGATCTGAGAGGTCCCGCCACCCTTCGCCGCAGTCCTTGTGCCGCTCGCCCCATGCCATCAGCCCAGCCGGCGTTGCCAGGCTCAGCTCTACGGGTGCGTTGACCCCCCGGGACTCGGAGGAGCACGATGACATCTATAGGTGAGCGTGCCAAACGGGTGGGAAATACCCCTTGCGGACGTTACAGAGGTCTTATAAAGATGGATTTGTATTAGATGCGCCTTGAGCATCCTTTCCTCTGGAGCTGGTCCAGTTCAGCTCTGCAGTGTGTGCCCAGCCTGGCGCCGTCGGTTGTTGGATTGTCAAGTGAGTTTTAGGGCCGTGGATGGGGATGTGCATTTGCTGAGTTGACACCAGGTATGATCCTGAGGGCTCAAATCCCAACACGTGCACCGATTGCTCAGTGTCTGAGGTTAACGCTGCTGCGCTGGGCTCACCGGGGGTTGGTTTGTTTATTTATTTTCCTTTTTTCCCCCATGCTTGAGCAGCTCAGCGGCAGGATTAACCCTGCTTTCTGGGTTAAACACCCTGGGCAGCGTTGCTACATGAGTGCGGAGCGCACACACCCCACCGCACCCTCCATCCCCGCCAGGCGCTTTGGCTGCCTCGGGGCACCCGCGTTCTGCAGCCATCAGCTGGGAGCCGGCCTGCGTCCTCCTCCGAGGATTCTCCCTGCCGACTGCTGTTCGCTCCCGCTTTTGCCTGGGCAGGCTCCGGCCGCGTGTAGGACACGGAGTCCTCCTTGCATTTCTTCACCCCCAGCTCTCGTGGAGACCCAGAAATCCGTGCATGACGACTTGTCTGTCCCATTTCTTGTAGCTTTTCCAGGCTGGGAGGCATTCCCTGTCTTTGGCGTTGTGGATCTCTTCCCAGCATCTCCCTCGGCTGCTTGCACGTGGCAGTGCTAACCCAAATTTGCCCCCCAGGGCCACTGTCACTGGTGTCCGCGTGGTGTGGCAGAAAGGCTTGTGGAATTTGCCGCCTGCACCTTGCCCAGCTGCACAGATGCTGACTTTGAGCCAAAGGCCATGCTCTCCTAGCTTCTTCCTGAGCACCCAGGTATGGGAGGCAGTGCCAGACAGCCTCACGGTGAAGGATGCCAGAAGTGTATTTGTGCAGGAAACTGAAAATGTTGCTGCTTCCTTCCTCTGACATAAATAGCTCTCGCCCTAAAAGCCGAGACTCTGCTCTGAGTGCTGATGGTGACACTGAGGCAGTGGTTGGGGACTGCCACGTGCAGGGCAAAGCTGGATCTCCCCAGTTTGAAAGTCTCCTTGCCCAGACACCTGATGGTCAGCACTGGAGCAAGGTTTGGGGTGAGCTCCAATTGTGTCCCTGCTGACGGCAGTTG